TATTATATATATATATATATTTATTATTATATATTATATATATATATATATTTATTATTATATATTATATATAAAAGTGATTTTTAAATTATTTAACAAGTACTTTAGTTTCATATGAACTTTTCATTGTTCTAAATTTTTAATTTTTTTATTACTCTCTATATCCGTTTTAATAAAAGTCATAAAAATTATTTTTTAAATATTTAATTTATTTTCATATGTACTTTTTATTCTTTTAGATTTTTAATTTTTCTATATATTTTTTTATGTACGTATTAATAAAAGTCGTTTTATAACTGTTTCAAAATTATTTATTTTTTCGTTTTCATTACATCATTTGCTTATATGCGAATGGCAGGCACCTTGCCGTGGTGCAGGGGCTTAAGTCGCAGGCATTCTCGGCATCTCCCAACTGGTGCGAGCGGGCTTGCACCTCACACTGGTGTGAAGCCGTATGCGTGCGACAACCAAGAGCTGCCACCTCTAATCCAGGGTGTTATGCGACTCCGTGCATTGGATGATTTGCAGCCAGGAGGAAAATTCGGCTGTATACGAGCCTTCCAACACGGGCCGCATTGGGAAGTAACGGTGGCCTTACCGCGTCAAGGGCTCTGGCGCGGCGGACTATTTGTTCCCTTCTTCCAATAGCTGACCGACGGCGCGCCTCGTCGTGCAAGGGTCGTACGAACAAGATGAACAACAGACAACAACACAAAACCACAACACACAACAAAAGGATCCCGGCAACAACAACAGCAAACGACGATGGACATTGATAACGACAAGGGCACGGTGCAGGTAAGGGCGAATCAGGGCTAAACGCAAGTTCAGCTTCCTGGACGCCCTTTCGCCAGAGGCGAGCGCTGTTCGAGGAGCATGCCAGAGACGACGACGATGACATGCCCTCGTGCAGCGGCGTTCACAGGCGAATTCGACTGCGGCCGCTGCGCCAAAGAAAAAGAAACCACGGAGACTCTCTCGAGCAGGAGCAACTGCTCGGATGCAGGAGTCGCAACGGGCGACCTCCGGTGGGGCTCAAAACGGAAAAGGAAGAGGGAGGCAGACTTCCCCCTGCACCAACGGGATGTCCGGGAGGACAAGACGATCCCAGAAGGAAGGTATGAGCGGTGCCAGCCTGAAGTGGTACCTAAGGCACCTCCAGGAGGAAGAACTCCGGAGGTAGCAGAAAGCCTAGCGCGGAACAGGGTGAGAGGTGACAGCACTTCCCGGCTTCCGAAAACATAAGGTGGAAATACCGCAGCCATTAGGAAGCGCAATGGCAACAATCGAGGCCACTGCCCAGTAAACGCAACTCAGCCCGCAGGCCGAGGTTGCGAAAGGCAGCTCCCTCGACACCCAGCGGCTAAGCGTAAAGCGGACAGCTGACGCCACAGGAGCCGAACAACACAAGCGGCAGAGGGCACACACGCACAGGCGACTAGTGGCCACCGCTCCGCCCAAACCTCCCCCGGCCAGTGGAGGGACAGCGAGGTATGCGGACCCGGCTCCTTCCATGGGGTAATATTTCAAGGAGGGCATGCTGCAGGTTGACTGCAAGGATGAGAGGTCGGCTTGTTGGCTGAGGGAGATCGCTCCAAGCTAACAGGCTGGAACGGCCCATCCTCTGCGCGAAAAGGGACGAAATTCCGCCCATGCACAGCATGACGGTCTTCCTCCCAGATGCGCAGGAAAGCCTTACGAGTTTGCTTTAGGTCTCATTCGCAATCAGAACGATGGCTCGATACATCGGCCTGGCGGGTGACCAAGAGCATAGCGAGGATTCAGGATGGAGCTCAACCTCTGCATTGATGACGAATCATACAAATTCGTCAGGAGGGTGAGCTTCCGCCTGAACTACAGGTTCAGCTCGGTGGTCCTGAGGCCGTTCAAGCCAAAACGATCACCGAGGCGATGCGGGAAAAGATATGCAGGTGGATGAGGTTGCGACTCAACCCTGCGCAAGTACGTCGAAGCAGGCGGCAACTGCTGAGACAATGGCGAAGGTCCCTCCGAGAAGACGGGCGAGCAAGGAGGGCGCTACCTCCACTCAGGAGCTTCTGGAGGGCTCACAAACCTGGCGGGAGACATCGCGGAGGACGGTGAGCATGAGGACCAACTCCTCATGGAACCGATCCTGTAGTGGGCCGCGTCTAGAAGTTGCCCAGGTGAACCTGCATCACGCGGCGTCAGCCTCGGCGGTTATCGCGAGCAGGTTCACGATGGATGGACTGGGCATACTGCTGATCCAGGAGCCGTGGGTCAATAAAGGAGAGGTCAGGGGCTCAAACGGGTCAAATAAGGTAATCTGGGATCTCTCAAGTGAGAGACCCGAGAACCTGCATAGTATTAGGAACGGTATTGACTTCTTCTGTATTTCAAGTTCCTAACTCAGGACCTGGTCGCTGTGCAAGCGAAGAACGACGAAGAGCGGACTTCGTCGTGGCAGCGGCCTATTTCGGGGAGACTCGACAGCACCCCAGAGGCAGTCGGCAACCTGGTGGAGTATTGCAGGAGGAATAAGCTGCCTCATTATGGGCTGCGACGCGAATGCCCACCACCGAATGGGCAGCACGGACTGCAACACACGGGGTGAGTCTCTTATCGAGTTTATAGTCAGTAAGAATTTAAGTATAGCAAATGGGTGCGAACCCACTTGTAACTAGTGTCAGAAGGAGGTGCTTGATTCACGCTCAGTAACGAGTCTAGGTAGGGCTGATCTCACAATGGAGGGTATCATCGGAACCCTCCATGTCGGATCACCGTATCATAGATTCGTGCTGGGGATGGGGTCAAGCAACTCCTCCCAACGTATCCCTGGGAACACGGACTGGGCCGCTTTCAGGAAATACTCGCAACAAAATTAGCAGTAGGGAGCAGCTGGATAGAAGCGCAACGGCTTCTGGATTGGAGACAGACTGTCTGCCTAAACCAATCCATTATAGAAGCTTATCATAGCAGTGCCCCTAAAGACAACCGCCAAGGGCGGTAAATGCTCCTGGTGGTCTAGTAAACTCTCAGTACTAAGAAAACGGTGCGCAAGCTATTCAATAAGGCTAAGCGCACCGGAAACTGGAGGATTACAGATGCAGCCTAACTGCTTATAATAAGGAGATAGGACGCGAAACGGAAGAGCTTTAGGAAGTTCTGTGAGGCGTCTCCTCAACCCCAGAGGCAGCTAGACTGCATAAGGCTCTGCTGAGGAAAGACGGACACAGCATAGCGATTAACGATCTGATGGGACCTACACGTCCAGCGCAGAAGAAAGAGCTACGGTCTTCTACTAGCGCATTTCCGGAGACGATTCAGAAGACCAGATTCGACCTATGGTCGAACGTAGGCCGTCACGCTTGGACTGGACAGTCGCAAACAGCTCTTCACTGCAGACTCCATCAAGTGGGCGCTGGCCTCCTTGAAAATATAAGTCACGGGTGCGGACGGTATCCTTCAGCTTTCCTGCACAGGGAGCAGGTGCTACTGCCCACCTTGTTCGGCTGATGAGGATAGCCTTGCGCTGGCGTATATCCCAGAACCATGGCGCACCGCAAAGGTGATCTTCATACCCAAGATAGGGAGGAAAGACTATCATTGGCGAAATCGTTCGGCCAATCAGTCTTACTTCCTTCCTACTCAAAAGTATGGAAAGATCATGACCACGAAGTACGATCGAAGGTGCTGAAGGCATCACCGCTTCATGAGAAGCAACATGCTTACAGAGCAGGCAGGTCAACAAACACTGCTCTGTACCAGCTAACTCAGAGATCCAGAATTCGTTAGATAGGGAGGTGGTGTTTTGCCGCTTCTCGACATAGAAGGTGCTTTGACAACACGTCTCACGAGAGCGTGTCAAGAGCACTAGAGAAAAGGAGTGGCAGCACCAGTGCGCGAATGGATTACAAGCCCGTACTGCGCACTAGGTGGCGGAAACCGCAGTAGGAGAAACTAAAATTCGTCTGGGACAACAAGAGGGTGCCCACAGGGTGGAGTGCTATCCCCTACTTGGAGCCTAGTTGTGGACGATCTCCTTGAGCGCTGACTAGCAATGGAATCCGCTGTCAGGAATATGCGGATGACATTGTTATCTTAGCTAGAGAGAAAATTTGAAGACACACTCTGCGATATCGTTCAGAGGGATTGGGACTGGCAAGGGATGTGTAGTGGGGTTGGCTTAAGCATCACCCCGCTAAAACTACAATCATTCCTTCACCAGACGGAGATCACTTGCCGGGCCTCAGGAGTATATCCTGGACGGCAGAGTGGTTGAGATGGCCAGCACGGTCAAGTACCTGGGCCTCACACTGGATTCACACTACGATGGAATAGCATGTGAACCAGACTTACCAAAGCTACTAAGGCACTCATGGTGTGCAACCGACTTGCTGGGAATCCTGGGGGTCTCCCAAGGACTATCAGGTGGATGTACACCATGATCTGAGACCGATTATCACGTATGGAGCGGTATCGTGGGTTCGAGAGTCGCAGACTTCGGTAGGACTTAAACTGTCGAAGCTGCAAAGACTTGCCTGCATCTGCCGTCGGGCAATGCGAACGTGTCCGACGCAGCACTGGAAGTCATGCTAGAACTTTCACCGCTACACCTGGTAATCAAACAGACTGCCAAACGAACTCTGCTCCAAATGACAGCGAGGAGAGCTGGCAAAGGAAGGTAATCTCATCCAACAGATGAAGAGCTAAGTGAGGAAATACCACTAGCCCTTTCTCCAAGGGATAGCATTACCAAAGTAGTAAACTTCAGCAGAAAGTTTCAGTAACCCTTGGCAGCAAATCTGAGTGGAATGACTCTTCACTGGACCGGCTGCTAAGGGTAGCACCATCAAGTGGTACACCGACGGGTCGAAAACGGAGGAGGGGATTGGTGCAGGGTCGCTGGGCCAAGCACCAAACTCTCATTCCCCATGGGAAGTTTCCCAAGCATTTTCCAAGCTGAGGTCTATGCTATAAGTCGGTGGTTAGGGATAAACCTCCAACGCAACTATCGCATAAGAGTATCGCTATACTCACGCATAGTCAGGCGGCACTAAGAGCGATCTCAGCCTATGAGGTCAGATCTCTCCTAGTGATGGAGTGTATAGAACGGCTGAACAGCCTATCTAAGCAAAACCGAGTACACCTTATTTGGTGTCCTGGCCATAGGGTATAGCTGGAACGAACTAGCTGACGAATTAGCCCGCTCTGCAGCCTCTACAAAATGGTAGGGCCGGAACCATACATAGCGGTTGGTCCTCATACCATCAAAGAGCTCCTCCGAAGGGAGGAAAGAGCAAGCAGGAGATACATTGGCAACAATTCAGGGCATGCACCATGCCAGACTGCTATTGGGGGTTACGACCTCAAGCGGTTTAAAGCCATAATTAATCTCCCAGAAACAAATTCCGGCTACTGGCAGCGTTCTACACCGGCCATTGCAGGCTCAGAAGCACCTCTTTAACATGGGCATAGCCTCTTCTGCAAACTGCCGTTCTGCGACATAGAGCCGGAAACCCTGAACATTCTGATGAACTGCACAGCAGTCTGCAGATGCAGAATCAAGGCCCTGGATCCATGTTTCCACACAGGGTCGTATCATCTAGGCCCAGCATGTTGATAAATTCCAAAATTCTGCTGGGTGCTAGTGAGGCGATATGACTTAGGGGAGGGCACAATAGACCATAGGTCGCGGTGCATACCTCGAAACTAATCTAATCTAATCTATATGCTAATTCGTTGTTTATATTTTTTATATTTTTAGTATGAATTTGTTTGTCGTCTCTTGTGTGTGCATTTGGTGAAAGCAGTTTCAAGGTTAAATCTAATTGTTTTACAATAATCAACGTCTTAAGTTTAATTTAAATTGCAATTTTAATTACATGCACATTATCTTCAACTCAACAAAATTAAAAAAATTTAATAATAATAAATAAAGTAATATATGTACATTATTACTCAGCTGAGTATAAATTCATTAAGTACAAGTTTACATAGCCTTATTGCATTGAAAGCGGTTTTACACAGTGTACCTACGTACAATTTCACAACCGCCTATTTCTACTTCTGGCACTAATTAATTTGCTATAGCACAATTTTTCGGCTGAGTTGTAATTAAATATATATATTTATATATAAATCTACTTAAAATAATATAACTTTAGTGTTAAAGTCGGTGTACAAGAATATAGGCAAACTTAAAACTGATATTACCTAAAAATTCAACAGCTAAAATTTGGCTTCGCATTGTGTAATTAAATAGATTTGGTGTTTTTATACATCGCACTTACAGTACTAAACAGTCTTAATTAGCTCACGTAATAAAATTATTAATTTTTTTGTTTTACAAAAAACATACAAGAAAATACTATTATTAGTTTCACAACGTTCTACTTTTCAAACATCCATTTTTACTATTTTCGATTTTGCTCACTAGCATTGCTTTGGGAAGAACACGTTCATCTCAATCAAAATCTGCAGCACAATAAAAACTAAATAGATGCCGATCAATGCTACGCCCGCGCGTTTCGTTAGACGATAACCGCTAAAACTCAATATGAGGAAGAGCGCTAAGGTGCAGAACAGCAGAATGATAATGTTGAACTCAATACCTTGCGCGGCAATTTGAATCATAGCGCTGCCATCTGTTTTGCCATAATTCATGCAGTTTTTAATAAACCATGGCACGCCCAGCGAGAGTAGGATGGCAAGTGAGTTAGCGCCCAGCGAGTTGGAGACGCCAATGCCGTTTTCACCTAAATAAGAGTGAGAGCGAAAGAGAGATAGTAAATAAAATATCGTTTGAGTGATTGGAAGAGAAAAGCGAAAAACGGAGAAAGGACGTAAAATAAAAGAGAGATCGAGTGTTGTTAAATGAGTTTACAGTTACTTTTTAAAAAATTTAAAGAGGGAAAGAGAGAAGACGAGAAGTGAAAGAGAATATACAGAGAGAGAGAGTGAAAGAGAAGACGTGAAGTGACAGAAAATAAAAAAGGAGAGAGAATGGAGAGTGTACTAATTTTTGAAAAAGTAAAAGTGGCGTGAAAACCGTTAGTTTTAATAGATAGCTACTGTGTCATCAGCAAAGTAGCTGATATTGACAAATTCAATTTGTAAGAAAGAGAGAGTGAGATAGAGAGAAAGAGTTGTCTAATTGTTTTACTCACCATTACGCAGTGAAATACAACTGGAAACCGCTTCGGGCATAGTTGAACCGGCCGCCAAAAAGGTGAGTCCCATAATTATTTCAGGTACATTTACCGCAACACCTGTAATAGTTACAAACAAGTTTTATAAATACAGATTGCAAAAAGATTTATTATATAATATAATATATATATATTATACATATATTTAAAAAATATATTTTTAATAATTTAGCTTCTAAGCAATATATTTTAGTAATGTATTTTTAAGTTGGTATTCATTTCTTTTCTGAATTGTCGTTCTTAAACTGTATTTGTGATCATATGATCGATCAGCAAAATCACATGATCATTCAGCATATGATATTTTTCAAGTCACATCAATAAAAATTAATTTAGTACAGACGCAAACCTTCTAATAGTAAACTGCTTAAAGACGCTAACATTTTACCTGATATAATGATCATTCTAAACGCATTGTGTGATCTAGTTTGTAAACCACCAGAACAGAATTTATATTAAACAAGCGGCTAATTAATATTTAATTAACAAATGTAAATTGTTCTTATGACGAATTTGCTGTCAGTTAGATTGACTTTGAGACTAATTAAATTGCGAACTTGAGCTACCTTTATTCACTACAAATTTAATTAACATAAAATTACGAAAGTCAACGGAAAAGATATCGCTTGTTTTATAATGTACTGTATCAGTAATTTTAATTGATTACTTAAATCAAGCTATCGAATTAATTTGAATTGTATTAGTATTTTTTATAATTTTTACTCACCAAATGCTGTCAACATCCAAACAATCATATAAGCATTGAGACCAATCGCAATGATGCACATCACAAATGAGAGTGGATAGAGGCGACGATGATGAGCGGGATTGGGTATCACAAATGTGAGTGTAAATTTAATGGGAAATATGAAGGCCCACCAGAATTTTCTAAATGCCGTCTCACCATGTGGTAGAGAGAAGAGTTTTTGCGGTTGCGGTGGCACGTCATCGCTTTCGTCGCTATTAACTGCAGAGAAAAAATTATTTAAATAAAAATTTTTCTTTTAAATTTTAAACATTCTAAAAATATATATAATTTTTTTTTTATAACTATTTGTTTTTTTTAATTATTTTTTCAATTATAAAAAACAAAACTTTTTTTTTAATTTTTCAATAGTATTTTTTCAATTATAAGAACATAAACATTTTTAAAAAATTTCAATATTATTATTTAAATTTTTTTAATCATAATATATCACAAAATAGTTTAAATTTTAAACATACTAAAATTTGTAAGGAATATTTTTTTTAGTTTTTTTGTAATCACATGTCTCATATTGAGCAGTTTTTTATTTATTCATTTTTAATTTTTTTTATGAACTTACAACTTTTGGAATGCGTCAAATTCACTGTCGAGGTATTATCGGGTAAATTTATCACAAACAGTCCATCACCGCCCAGATGATCCTTTTTGAGTGGCAGACGCGCCTTGGCACTATTCTCTGGTGGTTCAGTAAAATCTGTAAAAAAAATTAAAGATTGAAAATAAAATATAATGATAAAAAATAAAATATAATAGTAAATATATAATTAAAAAAAAAAACTAGTAATTACAAAATATATAAAAAAATGCAAATATTTGCAAAAAAAAACATACAATATAATAATAATAAATAAAATATAATAATGAATATTTATATACAATAAAATGCATAAAATAAAAATAAAAAATTTCAAATATTTGCAAAAATAAAAATATTAAAAATAAAATATAAAAATAATAAATAAAACACAATAATAAGTATGTATTAAAATATTATAAAAATAATAACTGCATAAAATAAAAATAAAAAAATTCAAATATTTGCAAAAAAAAAAGTTTATTCAAAATAATATATAATAGATAAAAAATGAAATAAAATAATAAATATATATATAAATATATAAAATTTAAATTTGTTAAGAAACTAATTTTGTTCGAATTTCATTTTTACTATTCATTTATTAACTATTACTATTCATATATCGACAACTAAAATTTAACGGTTCATTTTCAGCGTCATCATTAAGTTGAAATTTTTTAAGGCACACATTTTCTGAGAAATCCAATTTTCATGAAGCTATTATTTTTTTTGTTTCATTAAATTTGAATTAAATATTCTCATAAAAATATATTTTTAATAATTCTATAGAATAATTTTAATGAAATGAAGCAAACAAAAAAAAATGAAATATTTGCGAAAAAAATTATATTTAACTAGGTAATTTACAAAATCCATTAAATGCACAAAATATAATTAAATTTAATAAAATAAAAATATTTTTTTAAGTGGAAAAGTTAACAGTTACGAAAAATATAAGCAAACATTTATCAATTTATTTTTTATTCAATTTAAATTTACTTATGACAATAATTTTCTGTCGAAAACCAATTTTTATCAAAAAAAAATTTTCTAGTTTTCATAGAATTTTTTATTTTGTTAAATTATAAATAATATTTCTATTTTTGTTTTTAATAATTTTTTAGTTTTTTGTTTTTTTTATTTATTATTGCATTTTAGTATTTTATTTTCTATTCCCGCTATTGGTTTCTCCAATTTACTCACCATATCGCTTCGATATGCAGCAATTCATCTTATCCTCTACGAAAACACGTATGGCTGGCATAAATTTGTTGTTGTTAAATGTAAGAAAATAATAGAAAATGAGGAAACCCATCATGATGCATGATTCGGCGAAGCTGACATAGCCACCCCAGGCGAGTATAATGAGTATAATTGTATTAAAACTATATATGACACAGTCACGCGCTATAGGCCACCAATCGAGTTGGACAGGCTGTAAAAGAGCGTTTAAAAACGAGAGAGAAATTAAAATCAAAGAAATATAAACTGTTTACATATACGCCTTACCTTTTTTATGCATAACGCCCCCAGCGCAGCCACGCCCAATGTATTGAACATCAGCGAACCGATAATCGTGCCCAAGCCCATATCCGAATCCGTTATGAGCGTACTTATCGTATTCGTAAAGAATTCGGGCATTGAGGTGGCGGTGGCCATAAAAGTCGCCGCAGCGACATCTTTGGATAAATTCAAATCTTCACATATACATTCAACGGTGGGCAGGAAAAAGTCATTGCAAATAATGGCGAGCAATATGAAGAAATAGACGGCGGCAAAGACATGCAACACGACCCAGCCTTGACGTAATTGCTCCACTGTGCAGAAAAGAAGTGTGTTAATATTTGGTAAGTATTGTTAAAATTTTTTGTTATAAAAAATGTTTGTCAAAAAATCGATACAATATAATTTTTTTTTAAATAATTATTTCTTACTCTTTCAAATTATTAAAAATTATCAAAATAATTTTTTTTAAGGCGTTACTGTATTAATTTTTTTTTTTTAATTTTTTACTCTTTTTAATTATTAATTTATTATAAAGAAAATATTTTTTTTTTTAATTGCGATATTTAAATAAATTTTTTTATAAAAAACTTTTGCTCATTCAAATTATAAATTTTAATAATCAAAATTGTTAATTTTGAAATAAGTAATACATTCTTAATTTTTTTTAATTATTATATTTTGTCTTCTAAATTGTTAATTTTTTTTTCAAAAAAGTGATACTTTAATGTAATATTTATTTAATATATTTTATAAATTTTTTTTTTCAAAATTTGTTCATAATTTTAATATATTTTTAAATTAAACAACAACAAAAGCAAACACTATACAAATAGTAAATATTTTTTAATCGGTCAATTTCCGGCCTCTTTTAAATAATCTCAGAAATCGCCTCCTTCAAATTGCTACCAAATTATCTTCTAATTAGCTGGGTTTTCCCTACTTTCAAATTGCATTCCATTGAACTCAGGACTTGCAATGTAGATAATTCGCTAATGACCGCCGATTAAAAAAATTGACTCACTCTGCGCGGTACTTATAAATCCAACATGTGTTAGTTTCGATAAGCGTAGTGCAAAATGTTAATGAGATAAGCTATAGCTATATATAATATATAGCTCACGTGCAGATATTTATATATACATATACATATACATATATATTAACACTGGTTTCACGAAAAACTCGGCGGGAATTTTTCACCGAAGCATTTAATATAAAATTGTTAAACTCATAAAAATAAAAAGTTGTAAAAGCTCATAACGTTGAGCTTTAAAAAGTTTTACACATCTACTTTAAAACTTTTATTGAACTTTGAAGCTTTTAAAATTTACGCCATGAGAATGCTTTTTATAGTGAATTATATAGCATTGTACATTAACAAAATACATACATGTTAGAACAGTTTGGAGCTTTCACAGCTTTTTAAGCAAATGCAAAACTTGAGCTTTTTCCAGGTTTTACTAAAAATTTCAGTGTAATTACGATTTTTTTTTTAAATTTTAAGAGTTTTTAAAATTTTGTAGTCCATATAAAAAAAAATGCAGTTCTAAATTCTAAAGTTTATAAACTTCTTTAAATAAAATTCGGCATAAGAAAAATGTAGCGTTTAAACTTTGAAAGTTTAATAGGCAACGTTTTCATTTCGTTTTCAAAATAGTATTCCAACAAATTTGTATCTTAATTTCAAAGTAAAAAAGAGCTTTTTAGCTTTTGTCAACTTTCCGAGCTAAATTTTAAATACCTATCCATTTATATTTTCTCGCTTTTTATACAAACAAATATTCAAATATAACGAAAGAGCTTTTGAGTTTAAATTGTTTACGACTTTGAAGCTTTTAACTGCTAGAAAATAAAGCAGCTAAATTTTATTTAATTAGTTCTTTCTCGTACTTTTTTCTTTTTAAATAATTCTGCGTACGAAAAATTGAGCTTTTAAGCTTCGAAAGTTTAACTAGCAACGTTTTGTCGTTTAGTATTTTCAAATATAACAAAATAGTATTCCAGCTAATTTTTATCTTATATAAAAATAAGCATTAAAAAATAACGTAAAAGCTTTTGGGCTTTTTTTTAACAGAAGAGCTTTTGAGCTTTTTTTTTATACATTTCTGTGACTTATTAAAATACTTAAAAAAAATTACAAAAGAGCTTTTGACCTTTTTTTTTAATACATTTCTTTGAATTATTTACAATTTTCTGAGTAAAAAATTAGCAGTTCAATTTTGAATAATTGTGTATTTCTATTTTCGAACTTGCAATTTATGTATATTAGTTTTTAAAGCTGTAAGCTATTCGCTGTTTTTGTTTCTACTCGCAAGCTTGAAGCATGTGCGCTCTGGGTATGTGAATTATGGTTTGTAAGTTTGCTTTGTGTTTTTGTAAAATTTACTTTTTTTTACATGTTTACTTTTATATTGTTGTATTTGACATAATAAACATACCTGTGAAAAATTCAGGAAACTCATCTAACGGTGTACCGGTAGTATCCTCTTCACAAAGCTGGTCCTCACGTGCCAATGGCTGATGCAGTACATATTCAATATAATGGAAGGTTTGTTCCAGAAACGTTTCATTATATTCTGAAAGAGATGAGTTAAAAAAATTGATATTGAAAACAAAAATATTTAAAAAAAATTTGCTAAAAAAATTTTAATTTTTGACTCAATTTTTTTGTTTTATAAGCGTTTCGGTTTTTTGTTTATATACATTTTTTTTTTAATTTTGGTTTAATAAATTTTGTTAATTTATTATTTTAAGTATTCCGCTTTTTTGTATAAAAAAACTTTTACTAAAATTATATATTAACTAATATTTTTTTACAAATTTTTTTTTTTAAAGCGTTTCAGTTTTATTTATATACATATATAGAAAAAATAAAGTTTTCTTAAAAAATTTTTTTTTATAAAAATTTAAAGGTTTTTCTAATGTTTTTTTTTTGTTCTATAAGCCTTTCAATGTGCGTTTTTGTTTTTTTAAACTTTAATTTTTTAAATTTTGTTGATATAATACTTTTAGTATTCTGTCTTTTAATAATTTTTTTATTTGCGTGTGCGAATTTACATTTTTTACAAATTTTTTATGTGTTTTTAAGCTTTTTTTATTTTTTATTTTTGAATTTGTTTGCTTTATTAGTTTTAGTAGTATTCTGTATTAAATTTTTAGTTACTAATCTAAATTTATGAGTTTGAAAAATATTTGTCAACTTGTCTCTTTTAGTGTAGTCATAATTTATACGCTCGCCTTAAACCTCAAATATTTTTTATTGGCATAACTATAATTAACTTTTATAAGGTGCCAGCTTACTTTTATTAAATATTCGGAAGAAATTTAATTTCGTGGAAAATTCACTAACACCTGTTAAATGCGAACAGTGTGTTTGAGAGAGAGTAGAGCGTGATTATATGTATGCTTGAATAACGGAACACTTAAATCACGTATTCTAAAGAGAAATGTATTTATTCTAATATCTCAATTGGCTCATTAACTTTCAGTAAATATGCCAATATGCAAATCTTTACGAGCTTAATTATCGCCATTAGCATTGTACACACTATAGAAGTTGTAAAACAAATCTGCTTATCTATTCCAGAAAAAAATCTCCGACGTGCAGGAGTAATTAATATTCGGCAGAGGAAAATTTAGTAACTCTTATTTTCAAGCATTCTAATTCTATGATATATTGGGCAAATAATTTTCAAGTTACTAACAAAATGCAGCAAGTGCTATTTATACAGCGGTCTGGTTCTGTTGCTCAATGACAATTGTTTTTGTTTGGATATTTGAAAAACATTAGATGTGATACTTTAGAAGTAACTAGTTTCAGGTTTAAATGAGTTGAAGATTGCATTAGGGACCATATTATTGTTTTGTTGTTCTCAAAAAACCGATTTTTTTCGATTTTGCATCATGCTCATATATCGAACGTACATGTATTTGAGATTGTTCGACGAAAATTTGACGTTGATGCGGAAAATAGTTTCGGAAGTAGGCGCGTAATTGCAAGAATGTTTGAAAGTGGTGTAATTGGCGCCTAAAACTTTTAACGCGTTCTTCTCGAAACGCTGTTACCAGAATCGTTGCGGAATATTTTTTTGAAACGGCTAGAATCGGCTTGAAATTTTCATGCGACATTCTCAGTTGTATTTGACAAACAGTGACCGAAGGAATAAGATTTTTGATAATTTCGATTTTTTAAGCAAATCTATAATGTAAAATGTAGAAAAAAGTGTAAAATTTTTCACAAAAAAAGATTGTTTTTTGTAGAGCCATCCTGTTTGAAAAATCTAAATTTTTAGTGATCCTTCGATTCTTAACTGTTTTGATCTATGGTAATAATATTTGTTTTTTTTTGGATACTAGACTGAGGGTAATTTTAGGCAAAAAATCTTTCTCAGAGTCCAACATAATTTTTCGGAGGTCCTCCTGGCGATCGGCTACGTAAACAAGAGAATACAAAATTTTTCAAAATGAAACGCCGCTTATTAAAATTCAATGAAGACTAAAAATTGATGGAGTTGGAATTCTTAAGTAGTTTTTATATTATTTACGAATTTTTCAAAAGGCTGACAGAGAGATCTTAATTTGAGCTATACTCTTACAGAAGCTTGAAATCGCACAAATATCAAATCACTCAATCACTTTGAGCTAAGTGTTTAGTTGTTCAACATAATGAGCAAATAATTTGAGTTGAAAATACATTAATGGGTGTAAAATTGAGCAATTTGTACTAAATAAAACTGATTTCTGTTCTTTAAACCAAAACCAAAAATACGCCTAACGGTAAATTATTGAGTGTAAAAATATTGCAGGCAGTAAATGTTTGCGTATATTTGATTTTTCAGCATATATAACGGTTTTATGGTGTATAAAAATTATTTGTGAAGAAATTAGTATTACTTTTCCACTATGACAACAACAAAAAATCACTCAAAGTGCACTTTTAAAATATAAGGTTGCCACTAATAACTTTTAAAAATGCTTTTTATGCGTTCATTATTCTGCTGGCACTTATTTATCGCATGAAAATAACACAACAAATATGAAAACAACAAAAACAAAGGTTTCAATTCAAATATGTACGTAACAGGGAACACAAATTGCATATTGAACGAGCGCCTACAACAACAATGCTAACAACTAAAATATACTAGTAACGACAACAAAAAGTGTCAATAAATTATTATTATTATTAATGCGCGCATTTATTCATTATTTACTTATCAGTGTGATTACTATGCATTACATTGAAGAACAACAATAAACAGCTAACAGTATAACAGCCAAATTACAACAACAAAAACAAAAAAGAATCACTAACTAATAGCTAACATTAGTATTGTTTATTTACACTAAGTATGAAGCTTGATGAGTGCTGTGTGATGAATGATGAGTGTACTAAGTGTTGCACTATGTAGAATGGCAGTAGCGGCAAGAGTAACGGTTTTTGAGTGAAATGATTTATTAACACGCTGCTGGCAGTGGTGCTGAGCGCTAATTGTTTAGCAGTGTGTGCTCATTGTATGTCATAAATAACGTATGGGTATCGCTTAAAACAGCTGTTTGGCGTGAGTGGGGTGGCACTAACTGTGCTGTTGACGCGTAACTTTATACAACGCGCAAATGAGTGTGGGTACTACGTGAGCCTACAGCAGTTATAGCTGTATTTAATAATTCATGATCATTTTATAAAAAAGTCTCTTCGCTCAATGCCATTTATGCGCCTTAAACATACATACATATATGTACACATTTGTTTATCAATTTATATGTACTTAAAATAAATGTATATTCTTATATCATTATTAATTTCCCTTTTGGCGTGCGTTCTTGTCAACACCTTAAGTGTTGTTGACGAAAAACGAAAAAAAAAATGCAAAATAATAATTTAAAAAGCTCTTAACAACTCAGTCACGCCGGTTTGATAGACTGTTAATAGCAATGGTAACAAATTGAAAATTATATAATATTACATAATAGATTTTGATTAGTTTAGCGACGCGCGATATTAGTTTAATTAAGTAGGAAATTTTTCCGCAATTAATGAAATAAGCTTAACAAAAATATTGTTTATATAAAACCTAAAATATATTATAATAAAAAATTCAAAAAAAATTAAAAAACTTATATTAAAAATATAATAAGAAAAATATGTTTAAATAAAAAAATTTAAAATAATGTAAAAAAAATAAAAAACAAAAAAAATTAATAAATTAAAATTAAAATACAATTAAAAAAAGTAAAAAAAAATTAAAATAAACTAAAAACAGTAAAAGAATAATTGAAAGAAATTAAAAAATACATACGTAAATGAAATTAAATAAATCAAGTTAATATAAAAAATTACTATAAAACTTAAATAAAATACTAATAAAAAATTATTAAATATAAAAATTATATAAAATACTGATAGAAAAATTAATGAATATAAAAATTAAATAAAATACTCATAGAAAAATTAATAAAATAACTATAAAAGTTAATACGCAAAAATTAAAAAAAAAAATTAATTTAAATTAAAATAAAACTTAAAAGCATGTAAAACAAACAATTAAAAAACGAATAGAAAAAAAATTCCAAAACAATTTAATAAAGCAAGAAAAAAATTTAAAAGTAATTAAAAAAAAGATTTTAAGAAAATAAATCATTAAATAAAATACTCTTAGAAAAATTTACAAAATACCTATAAAGGCTAATAAGTAAATATTAAACACAATATAAACATGTATTTTAAAAAATAAACAAAAGCATTCAAAAATGCAAAAAAAAAGAAAAAAAAAAATTAAATATATTGAAAATATTATAAAGTCACTACAAATGCTAATAAGAAAAAATTAAAAATATTTTAATGAATCAAATTAAAAATATATAAGAAAAAACTAAAAATATTTTAAATAATCAAATTGAAAAAGTATAAGAAAAAATTAAAAATAATATAATAAATCGAATTATAAAACATCAATTTAAAAAATATATATATATTGTATTTATATTAGCATAAATAAGAATAAAAAAGTAAATTTTACATATAATACTAAAAAACAAATTAAATAAAACATTTATTGAAAAATCGTCAAAATTAAATAGTAATAAAATAAAAAGTTTAAATTATTAATAAGTAAAAAAAAAATATAAAAAACTAATAAAAAAGTAAAACCATTAATAAAATAAACCTCATTAACACAAAAAGTTATATATATATAATTCGGCTATTATAGCATAAATATCAATAAAAAGTAAACTTTATGTTATGGTATGTTTACCAAATAAATTAAATACAATTTTTATCGAAAAATCTATAAAATAACTATAAATGTTTATGAAAAAAATATATTAATTACCAATTCCTCGATATTTCTATCATTGCTGAGTAAATTATTTGTTTTGTGATTAATCACTTTTTGCATTACTATTTACATATCCAACAGTGATAATTATAAGTCACCAAAACAATTTACGCTTTTTCTTATCAGTAAACGAAAAAAAATAAAAATAAAAATTAATTTGCAAATAACCAAATATTATATATAAATATATCGAAATCATGCTATCGTATATAAGTAATTAATTATAGATCAGATTA